TAAAAAGACACCAGAGGAATATTCTCGATTTTCAAAAGCATTTCTTATTTCGTTAGTTATTCTGTTCACTTGATCGATAGTACCAAGTTTTTGATAAAATCCAAATTGATGGATTGGGATCAAGTCTCTATCTTGGAGGAAAGGCATACATTTTGTAAGGAACACTTTCTCAAATAATTTTGATAGACAAGGCATCAAACTTATAGGTCTATATGATGCGGCTAGTGTTGAATCCTTTCCAGACTTTTGAACCATTAAAATTAACGCTTTTTTCCATTCCGTAGGGATATGTACAAATTTTATTATGGCGTTAAAAATCTTTGTAATGAATAAGATTTCTACGAAGGGCATATTTTGTAACATGATTGGAGTTATAGAATCATGTCCAGGTGCTTTTTTGCAGACAAGTTTTTCTTTGATGGTTACCTTGATATCGTTTGCGGAGATTTGTAAGTTGATAATATTATTATTAATATGTTGTGCTGGTAAATTTAAATTATTGGAAGGATTTGGTTGAAAAATATGACTGAGATGATTAGCAATTACATTAGCTTTTTCTTCGTCGCTGCGCGCCCATTCACCGCTGGAGTTTCTTAACGGAGGCACTGCTTCAACAGGTGTTTTTATAGTTTGATGAGCCTTCCAGAGTGATCCTTTGTTAGCCGTGTTTGGGAACAGCTTCTTAATATATTCGTATTGTTTGTTTTCTTTGTCTCTTGCAAGAGCGCTCTTTAGTCGATTTACGGCTTCTTTTAATTTAGATTTGGTTGATGGGGATCTATTTTGTTACCATTTTCGATGAAGTTTTCTTTTTAATTAAATAAAATGTATTCTTGAAAATTAAATAAAATATATTCTTAATCATTTAAACTGAAAAATAAAAAAAGTGTATTCTTAATCAAAAATTGGTCCTTCGAGCCGGATTATATTTGAATCATATTTAAACCCTATTTCGTTATGGCAGAGGAAATAAAGAAGTTAATCAACTTGCGTGGACGCCTTAAGAACTCAATTACTCGAGCACTTACTTACGGAATGTTTCTTCATTTCAGGAAAATGTGTTACTTAAAATCAACATTCCGCGCTTCTCAGGAAAACATACAGATTGGCCATCATTTAGAGATTTATTCACCAGCTCTGTTGACTCAAAGCAGAATCTTTCTTTTACGCAAAAATTTCACTACTTGAAATCTCTATTGAAGGACGAAGCTGCTGCTCTCATCAAACATATTCCAGTTACGGAAGCTGCTTACAGTACAGCGTAGACACGTTTACTGGAGTGTTTTGATCGCCCTAAGCACGTCGACACGGCATTTATTGAAAACTTTATGGCGTTTCCATCAACATCGAAGGAAAATTGTGCAATTTTGATGAGAATTTCTGATGGTGCAAACGAAACAAGAAGGGGCCTCGACGTAGTAGGCCAAGCCAATCGTGATTGTTGGCTTATCCATTTGTTATTATCGAAGGTTGGCCCTGAATCTCATCGGAAATGGATACATAAAAGTCGAGGGGATGTTTCGTCGTCAATCTCTGAATTTTTCGAATTTTTGGATTCTCGCTGTGAAGAACTGTTTCAAATTTAAAACCTCAGGACAAATCAAAATCATCTCTCGTTTTTGTTGACAAAGAGTTACAAAAATGTGTCAAATGTAATTCAACTGAGCACAGCATACCTAAATGTAATGCATTTCTATCGATGTCTATCGATGAATGCCGCGAGTTTCTGAAAAGTCACTCGCTATGTTTCAATTGCCTCAGATCGGGACATTCATCATACACATGTAATTCCAAATTTCGATGTAGAGAATGCCATAAGCGCCACCACACTCTTGTACATAAGTTGCAACAACAATTGCTTCATTAACATCAGCATCCACTGCGATATCCTCTGGCAAGCCATGGTCAATTGTTGCTAATGTTTCTCCTCCAGATATTTTGAATCCCACTAGTTGCCTGAAATCTTCGCCAACAGTAACCACTCTAACTTGTCATCAATGCTGTTACCAACAGCACTTGTTGACGTTCGCAACACTCAAAATAGATATGTTTCATGCCGTGACCTTCTTAATAGTGCGTCGGAACTAAGTTATATTTCGGAGCGATGTGTTCGGGCTCTTAGTCTACCTCCTTCACCTTCCCGTGTTGCTGTCTGGAATTATCTTCTGTTAAGGCTGAGACTACACGTGGCTGTTGTACACTCTATATGAAATCAAAGGTTTCCCAGAACACACTAGATGTAAGTGTTCATGTCTTGAGCAAGATCACATCAGCAATTCCTACGTCAAAAATCAATACTCCTACTATGAAGCAATTCAAGGACTTGAATCTTGCAGATCCATATTCTAATTCTTTATCACCGATTGATATTTTACTTAAAATATTAAATATTTTCCAAGTTTAGAAAATATTTACTTTTAACAAAATTTTCGACTCTTCTGGTAATCCTATTGCTGTATCAACAATATTCGGATGGCTGGTGACATCAGTTCAGGCATCCATGGATAAAGTAGTATCGCGTCATGTAACTACGATTGATATAGATCGCTCGCTTCGAAAATTTTGGGAAATTTTGCATCCGTTGCTAGACGCAGAAAACGTTCACATAGAAACTCATTTTTTAGAAACGCACGCACAGAACTCTGACGGCAAATATATTGTGGAGCTTCCATTCAGGGAAAAGGGTATCAAATTCAGAAACACGCTTCAAGAGACTACATTAAGGTTTAATGCTGTTAAACGTCGTCTACTGAGGAACAGTCACCTTCGTAAGCAATGTACTGAGTTCATGCGAGAATATACTTGCCTGGGACACATGCGGGAACTTAAGCCTGATGAGGTTATTGCCAGTGATAGCCACAGTTTTTATATGCCGCATCATCCAGTAATTGGACCAAAACTTCGCGTTGTTTTTGATAGCTTATTTCAAGATACTAGCGGAGTTATATGTTACTTAACAGTACGTTGCATACAGGTCCAGGTATACAACGAAATTTATTTGATGTTTGCCTTCGCTTTCGTATACATAAATATATATTCTCTGCTGATATAGTAAAAATGTTCCGCCAGATTTGGGTATAAGAAAATCATCGAAATTACTAACGAATTGTTTGGAGGGAAGATCCATCAGAAAAACTAACACATTTCCAATTCTGTACGGTTACTTATGGTACATCATGCGCACCATTTCTCTCTGTGGGGGTCCTCGAACAGCTTGCAAAGGATCACCGAAGAAGATACCCTCTCGCTGCGAAAATTATTCTTGAAGATTTTTACGTTTACGATGTCATTACTGGTTCGCAGTCCTTGAGTGAACTAGAAAGAAAACGTGACGAGCTAATTCAACTTAGCTCGTCAAAAGGATTTAAACTTAGCAATTCAAAAGGATTTGAACTTCGAAAATGGGTCTCTAATTGTAATTCCATAACCTCTAATTTTTATGATCAGTCTGATCAATGTTTTTTGAAGGATGAGCTAGACGATATGACGAAGGTTTTGGGTACCTATTGGAAGCCATGCGAGGACGTACTTACGGTTTGCATAGATGAAATTCCAAAATTAACGAAACGACAAGTTTTATCAGACGTATCACGAATCCATTGGGCCTTCTTGCACCTGTTATTGTTCAATTCAAGATCTTTTTCCAAGAATTATGGCAAAGTAATTTGAAATGGGACGACCATATCCCTTCTGATCTCGCTGAAGTTTGGCTAAAACGTCGTGTGTCGCCGTTGAAACAAATTTCTTTGCCGCGACTAGAGTTATGTGGCGCTCTTTTATTAACGAAGCTGTTAAATTCAATAAAAAAGGCTTTGCCTCACAAGGAAATCAACTTAAAGGCTTGGTGTGACTCTACTGTGGTTTTAGCGTGGTTATCGCAACCACCAATCAAATTTAAAACGTTTGTCGCGAATAGCACAGCAGAAATATTAGAAACTCATCCCCGAAGCAGCTGGGGATATGTTAAATCTAAGGAAAATCCATCTGATTGCGAGTCTCGGGGCATGATGGCTTACGAATTATCAGATTTTGAACTATGGTGGAAGGGGCCTCCCTGGCTAGCGAACGTAACTGCTGGTAAGTCTTTATATAATAATGATGATAATTTCCTCGTATATTCAGAAGAAGATGTAACCGCTGAAATGAAGTGTACCAAGATAAACCTAGTCTCTATGGAAGCAGCGAGGGATAATAGTTTAGAAGAGCTGGTCTCAACATGAAAAAAATTATTACGAGTTGTATCATACATAGTACGGTTTCGTAGAAAAACGCACCCCCGATATGTTCAGCAAGGCCGTGAGCAATCTACTTTTTATGAATTAAGTGAAGCTCGACTAATTTCCTTACAACTTGCACAAACCTACTACAAGGAAGATTTGCTGCAATTAAGAAATAACAGGGAGCTTAGCAGAAGATCTACCTTACTCAAACTTGCCCCATTAATTGATGATACCGGACTTTTACGTGTCGGTGGAAGAATTACGCATTCTACGTTAGACAAGAACACCCGTCATCCTATTATACTTCCAAAGGAACATAGAATTTTAACGTTAATCCTACTCGATGAACATCAGAAAAATCTTCATCCAGGAGTGTCTGCACTTTTCGTTCACGTCCGCCAGATGTAATGAATTTTTATAGCACGAAATTTAATATGAAGGTTAACTCATAAATGTTTCAAATGCTTTCGTCAACGCCAGCTAACAAGCACATCCGTGCGGGTTCGACAAGCACATCCCTTGGAAAATACTGGGTGCGTTTACGCTGGGCCCTTCACACTGAAATTATATAGCGGAAGAAATGCACATACCTGCAAGGGGTTTATTTCCTTATTTGTTTGCCTCGTTACATCTGCCATACACCTCGAACTCGCTACTGACCTAAGTACTAATTGTTTCCTAGCAACACTTCTCCGTTTCATGTCCAGTCGTGAAAAGTGTTCCATTATCTTTAGCGATAATGGAAGGAATTTTCTTAGTGCTTTTCGTGTGTTAAACGAGATGCATGCTGCAATTATGTCACAGTCTCGGAACGAAATCATTTCAGCGTTTTTCCCAGAAGACGGAAGTACGATCAGTTAAGTTACATCTACGGCGCGTAATAGGCAATGCAGTGATTACATTGCTGTCACAAATTAAAGCAGTTGTGAATTCTCGCCCCCTAGGCGCTACATCAGACCCGGATACTAATTATCTTTCTCCTTCTCATTTTTTGATTTGCTTATATTATTTTCGTAGTCAAAAATAATTGCTTGAAAATAGTCAAGCAATTTTAAACCTCTATATATTCGTCATTCGACGGCGGTAGTGTCAGCTCATAACGTTATGTGGAATTCCGAAACAGATAGGCAATTCCACTTTCAGCTCCCCTAAGGTGGTCCTTATGTAAAAGGCCGGAAGGGGATGAGAGAGGAGACTTGGGAAAATTTGAGAAGAGTTGTGCGATGTTGTTTAAGGTTATGAATGCTGCTATTTCAGATAGCTTCCCTCTAGGATCATTACAGTTAAACTGAAGACTTTGAAGAGGGAAAGTGCTGTTGATTGTTAAGACAACACTAGTGCGTTGCGGGAGTGAGCGATTTTGAAATGGAATTATGGGTGGGAGTAGACAACAATTGCCAACAAAACTTGAATTTCAACCATGGTGCGAATTTAATCCGGAGTGAGGTGTAAGTTGGCACCATCCGTTACAGAGTTACAACGTACAGAGGTGGTGTTCCTCGATATTGCTCGATTGCAAACTGTGCTTAGCCAATTGGTAGAAAAGTGGGATGCCATAGGAAGAGGTGTCACTGATTATAAACTGACTGTCGGTGGTTGACAAAATGGAGATAGTCTAAATAGAGGAGTAGTTTGGACAACAGGCTCCTCTAAAGGCAGAGTTCCAATCAGTATGGCTATGCAAACCTAAACAGTTATGCATGTGACACCAGTGATTATAACTGTTGCACCTAACAAATGTTTGATTTCTGTGAATGGAAATGTTGCAAGTGCCAAGTTAGAGTAGTTGGTATCGCGAGACCAGGTTTGGGTTTAATTTCGGCCATTAGAAGAAATATAAGAAGCAAGATCGCCTTAACTTGCTTCTTACTTGGAATAACACATATAAACGACAAATGTCAAACAAAAACATACCTGCTTGTATGACCCCTTTAGACGAGTGCCTGCGGGACGTAGACCCAGTCCTTCTTGGAACCTTCTTGTATGAATATCAATGATTGGTTCATTCACTGATAATGACATTTATTCAATTTAGAATGTTTTCTTTACTATTTATTTTTCAATTTGTTTATTTAGTATAAATTTATATTTAAAACATACAATTACACAATGATACAAATTAGTGAGCTGCAATTAATATAGTTTTCCTGTCGATTTGTAACACTTTTATCTTGTCATTTATTTTGCGCTTCTTGTCTTTATTTGCTAGTCGTATCTGCTGTTTTAATTTGTGTGTGAGTTAAAAATTAATAAACGAATTCAAAACAGAATTAAAATTTAATTTGTTAAAAAACAAGTTAGTTTAAATTTATAAAAATTGTTATTAAAAAAAAATTAGTTTTAAAGTCACTGCCCCAATTGTTTATAGTAACTTAAAAATTATTTAATACGTTTTACCAATTAAAACAATGAAAGCTACAAAGTAATTTATCTTTTGCGTGCGTTTGACAGTGCAAATGTATGTATATATAAAGTAGTGCAAATGCAAATGTTTATTCTGCCTTAATACTATCTTAAATCAATAGAAATAAAAAAAGCACCTAATTTGTCTTTAGTATTTTCAGATATCTTTTTAGGTGAACATCTGACATCTGTATGATATTAAGCAAGAGTAGATGTACAGATAGTTTCTGTCGATGTCGGTTGTTGTAAACCTAGATTAAGCGCCTTCAGTAAACTACTTCCGTAATTCGCGGGTAATATTTTATACTTTTTTAATTTGAATACTGAGGATTTTTGCTGATTTTGTTTCTTAGTCGAAGTTAAATTACAGTGTGATGATTTTCATAGCTAGATATCATCACCCAACATCAGAATTGCCTTATGCTTAATTGGAACTGTCCCGCCGAAATTTGTTGGATTTTTCTAGTATAGTTTTTTTTATCCTTCTCCAAATAAACGGAAAACTTATTTGCAAATAGATGCAGATGATTGCTGGTTAAATTTGATGCATTTTTGTGGCATTTTGGTTGTACAACATAATTCTTTGTAAATTTTCTATCAAACGTTATTCTATTAGATTTAAATTTCGGACAGGATAAATATACTCACAAATGTAAATTCTATTTTTTTTTTATTTTTTATATTTGAAATAGATTAGTATTGCTATAAATAGTGCAAATTTTTAAATAACTTAATTTGTTATAGGTTTATCGAAAGGTGTCGGTTTTATACGCTTCGATCAACGCAACGAAGCTGAACGAGCCATACAAGAATTAAATGGTAAAACTCCAAAAGGTTATTCTGAACCAATTACTGTCAAATTCGCTAACAATCCAAGCAATAGTGCTAAAGCTCAAATCCCACCACCACTGGCCGCTTACCTTACACCACAAGCGGCTGCTGCAACACGCCGTTTAGCAGGAGCTCTACCTTCAGCTGGACGTATAAGGTTTGTGAAAGATTATCTTTTTAAGTATTCTTACCGCATTATAGTGATTTTGGAGAAGCATTTATGGTGTTTAAAATTTTACTTTCAAAAATAAAAGTATTCACATGATTAAAAAAAGATTTATTAACAAAATTTACTTATTAGTTTATTTATAAATTAGACTTTGCAGCACTGTCTATTCAGGCCTTGTGAAAACCTCAACTGGTTTTTCTTTACGTGCGTGTGTAGGTTTTTCGTCACTTCCTTCGCATCTACTTCTTTAGTAATAAAAGCAAGTTTGAGCCTTTCTGCTGAAGCTGTGGTTTCCTTTGCCTGCATATCAATAGCGAAAGTGCGGTCAGTTGGTCTACTGAGCACCTCAAAGATCCAGTGTACGGTGGCTTCAACGGGCGACGGACATAATCAGTCCTAAGCAAAACGTGTGAGCAGTTGTAGAGGTTTTTCAACACAAATGAAACATTGTACCGGTATTGTGTTGCGGGAATCGGTCGCACTAATCGCATGTGTTTGCGAAACTCCTCTTTGAAAATCTATGGGCTGGTGCATTGTTGGTCGTCCTCAAAAAACTCGTTCGGTAGTCGAATCGGGGCACCATACAGCATCTCAGCAGCTGAAGTTTGCAAATCTTCCTTGAAACACGTTCGTAGGCCTAGTAGGACTGTTGGTAATAATTCTATCCAGGATTCTGCTTCGTGACACATTAGTGTTGCTTTTAAGGAACAGTGCCAGCGGTCAATCATACCGTTTGCTAGTGGGTGGTATGACGTGTGTTTTTCTCTTATCATTTTTGTCAATGCTTTGAAAAATTCTTATTGGAATTGTAGGCCCCGATCCGTTGTTATGTTTTGCGGGCATCCAAATCTCGCCACCCAGGTTACTGTAAAATATCCGATTGTCCCTTTTGAAGAAAACAACACACCTGACAATGCTCAACAAAAAGCACATTGAATTGTTAATTTTTTGTAAAAAAATAGTAAAATAGTTTTGTATTTGTTGTATAACCTTGTATTCTAAATAAAATAGTCAATGGAAACGACTAAAGTGGTGACCTCGACGCGCAAAGTGAAAAATTTACAGAACTAATTTTTTAAAAGTGTAAAATTACATTAGTTTTAGAAATGCTAAACAGCATTAACTAAAATTATTAACGGCCTTATCCAACACGCACCATCGTCATCACAAGTATCAGAACAAGAAAACTTGGGACGACTGAAGTGATGAAGAATACACGCGCAAACTACGTTCCAGACATAACAACATGGCGTTGAACGCGGAACAAACTACAAACACACAAGGAGACTCCACAGAAATAGACCTGAAACACAATGTGAGAGTCCCGAGTTATAACAAAACCAATCCAACGGTATGGTTTGCACAGTTGGAACGTGGTTTTCGTCTAAACAACATTCGAGACGATATAGACAAATTCGATTGGGTTGCGGTAAATTTGGATGAAGATATCGTGATGGTTGCTGAAGATTTGATTACGAATCCTGCAACTAATAATAAATATGAAACACTTAAGACACGTTTGTTGGGAAAATTTGCAGAATCAGCCGAATCCAAGTTGCGGCGCCTACTACAAGGTACAGATACTACTGGTATGAAGTCATCGGAAACACTTTCGCACATTAAACGTCTGGCACCGGATCCCAATAGCGAACAAATCATTCGCACGCTTTTCCTCAGCGAAATACCCAAATCGATTCTTCCGGTATTGGCAATATGGGAAGAAGTCTCGAATTGTTTTACGTGATTTCCTGCCGGGATGACTCAACATCACGCTGCTCTTAACACACGTATAAATATAAAGCGTCAATCAACGCCCCACTGGAATAGCCTTCCTTATTCCGCCAGTACCAATGAAGAAATTCATGTAAGTCATAACTTCTACCTTGGTAATATGCGAGGCCCATTTTAAACCTCTGCTACAATTTGGGTGTAGCACCTGGTATGAAACGCACTCCACGGCGAATGAATGATGAATGTCGGTTTGGGTATCAACCGACAGCCACTACGAAGCCAACGCCAATGGCCAGAACAGCCGATGCTGCGGGCCACTGACTCCCGATGCATCAGATCGGTTCATCTCTGGTCAGATGTCGGAAGTGCTGTGCTCACTCACTACCATTTGCACTTCTTACATAAGTGACAGACTGGCACTGGGGGATTTTAGTCGCCTTTTACGACAGGCAATCCTAACCGCGGGAGTATTCTTTTCCCCTCTCCGCAGGGAAACAATATGCGAAGAAGATGATCTGAACAAACTGGCAAAATTAGCTGATAAAATGCTGGTGGCGTCAACAACAAACGTAATGTATATGTGTGAGATATCGCCACAGCCTATGCAAATCGCTGCAACTGTGTGCAGCACGGCATGTAATGATTTGTACACAGCTGTTCAACAACTTTCTGACCAAGTTAAAAAGCTATAGGTTGAAGTTAAACAACTCAGAAAAACAACACGAGTCCCAACGGTTCTCGATCGCGCTCGCCCAAAACTTTAAGCGATGTCAACGGTCAACAGCGACGTCATGACAATTTTTGTTACTACCACACCAAGTTTGGGGACAGTGCCGCCAAGTGCAAGCCAAGCTGCTCACGATGGGCACCTTTAAACTAAAAAAGCTGTCGTCAAGCACACTGGTTGACGGCAGAAGCAAACAACTTGACCACATAACCAGTGATTCATCAGTAGCAGAAATACGGCATTTGATGAAATTCTAAACAACACAAGGAGAGCTCCAACTATATGCATCGAACCGAACTCTCATTACCACAACACAACACAACACAATGGAATTAGACCCAGGATCACGAATATCATTTAGGTGGCAATTTATCATCGCAGATGTCAAAGTTGCTATTATTGGTGCTGATTTCTTAAACCATTTTCATTTGTTAGTTGATCTAAGAATCAGACAACTTATAGTCATGACGACGAAGCTTAACACACGAGCCGGTCTTTTAGCTTCACCGCCATCAACCATATCTACAATAAACGAGACAGACAAGTTCAGCAATCTGGTCAAAGAATTCGTTGATATTACACGACCAGTGTTGAAACAGTCATTTCGTCATAACGTGTTTCAAGGAAGATTTGCAAACTTCAGCTGCTGAGATGCTGTATGGTTCCCCGATTCGACTACCGAACGAGTTTTTTGAGGACGACCAACAATGCACCAGCCCATAGATTTTCAAAGAGGAGTTTCGCAAACACATGCGATTAGTGCGACCGATTCCCGCAACACAATACCGGTACAATGTTTCATTTGTGTTGAAAAACCTCTACAACTGCTCACACGTTTTGCTTAGGACTGATTATGTCCGTCGCCCGTTGAAGCCACCGTACACTGGATCTTTGAGGTGCTCAGTAGACCAACTGACCGCACTTTCGCTATTGATATGCAGGCAAAGGAGACCACAGCTTCAGCAGAAAGGCTCAAACTTGCTTTTATTACTAAAGAAGTAGATGCGAAGGAAGTGACGAAAAACCTACACACGCACGTAAAGAAAACCCAGCTGAGGTTTTCACAATACACAATACTGGAAGAGGGTACTGTGGCAACAGTACAACCAACATGGCAGCCCGCAAAAATATACTTTTGAAAAAAACAAGACACCTGGCAATGCTAAACAAGAAGCACATTGAATTGTTAATTTTCTATTAGTAAAGTAGTTTTGTATTTGTTGTATATACATATATAGTCGCCTTATATGTATACATATATATATATATATATGTTAGAGAAAAAGTCCTTTAAAAATCCGTTTCTGCAATGCTCTGTGCAGTATCACTGTCTCCCTCACTTCCTATCTCTGAAGTAACTGCTATCTTCACATACACAGACCACATTTTGACAAGTAGGGTAACCAGACATAGCCTACTATCTGTCAATCATTTATAAGGTGACCATATGTCAACAGGGTGACTCATCTCTTACACGGCCATCCTGCAATACTCATCGACCACGATGAGAAATCGCGTCACAAAACCAATAAAATTCAGAGAACATGTAACTCAAAGGCAATTTTCCACTTGTTTACACGACTCAATAGAAAACCAATAGAATTCAGAGAACATGTAACTCAGAGGCAATCTTCCGCTTGTTTACATGACTCAATACAAAACCAATAGAATTCAGAGAACATGTAACTCAGAGGCAATCTTCCGCTTGTTTACATGATTCAATACAAAACCAATAGAATTCAGAGAACATGTAACTCAGAGGCAATCTTCCGCTTGTTTACATGACTCTAGTTTTAAAATTTAAACGTCCTTATATTTACCATATTCAATCATCAGAATCACACGTCAGCGTGTTCCATGATTTCAAACATCAAACATTTATCACAACATTTAGACAGGGAAAAATTATATTTATTCATTGCAAAATATTTTAAAAGCTACTTATCTTATTCATGTTTGATGTCATCTATCATATGACAATGGGCTTCAGTACATCCCTTGCAGCAATTATAAAGTTTCTTGAATTAAATGCCTTCAACTTATATCTGTCATTTTGTAAAATACCAACGATGTCGTATGGTCCGTCATACTACGGTTGTAGTTTGCTCTTTCTTATCTGATTGCTGTGATACACAACTTTTTGTCCAATTTTTAGTTTTTCCGGTTTTTTCTTATTCATGTCAAACCGAACTTTCATCTTTTCTGCATTTTCTTTCGATCTCTCCTCTGCCAACTTGCTCAGTGCTTCAATATTTTCATAAACTGGTTCTATGTCAAACCCTTCGAGTAATGCGCTAACTTTCGGTGTTTTGCCATTAATACCTGTTAGTAGTTTTAATGGTGAAAACCCGGTTGTTTTATTCATTGTGGTATTCAAAGCCAATTGGAGTCGTCCTTCAAAAACGGTCCATTCAAAACTATTTAGGGCATTCGTTCTTAATAAATTAGACACGGTATCAACGTAACGTTCCAACTGTCAATTTGCTCGACCACTGCCAGAAGCTATGAGGTGATGTTCAATGCCCATTGC